CACCTGGAAGGTGTGGCAAGGGACCCATGTTGTGGCATTCGGGAAGAGATGGGGCTGGGATTGGCCTTCTTCCTCTGGCCACAGGCAGGGCCTGGCGTGGGAGACCCTCCCTGCTCACGGCTGGTCACTGCTGCTTCCCCACACCCCAGAGGCCCATTGAGTAGTGTTAGCAAGAGGAGGACCCTTTGCTTAGAACAGGTCAGATGGGTAATGGGCAAAGGGAAGGGTGGTCTGGTAAAGGTGGGGCCACAGTACAGGACCCTCAGAGGTGGTCAAGCCCTCAGAACCAAATTACATCTCAAGAAATGAGAGACATTAAAGCCACTGATGGTGGTCTTTGAGGAATCACAGAGCCTGGGAGAGGGGTGAGAAGATTCAACATGGGGAGAATTCTAACCCCAATCTTTGCTAAAGAGATTGTCTAAAAATGGTTTGACAGCAAATCACCAAGAATATGGGGCTCAGAAGAAGCAACATCAGTTCACTAAGAACAAGTCATGACAATTTATCCCCGTTTCCTTCTTTGATCAAGTTCCAGGGTCAGTAGATCAGGAGTCAGTGGACACAGAAAATCTAGCTTTTAGCTGCGCATTGGTCATCGTGTTCTATGATTGTCTTGCAGCTGAAAGGGTAAAATATGGGTCAGATCAGTGGTTCCCAACCCGCCGATGAAACTTTCACTAAGCTGCAACAAAATAAGTAAAGAAAAAGGCTGATGTTATGTGCGTGTCACCCGTTCACACACGCGTGCACACACAGGGGATCTTGTTTCTGAAAGTCCATTCATCGTGTTCCCACAGTGACAAGGTTACAGATTTAAGTTCATCAGAAAAGCAAATACCAAGTATTCTTTCAGAGAGGTTCCTCAGGACACGGGTGGGGAGTGGGTTAGATGCTCTGCCCCTGACCCTTTTTGTCCCTCTGATACTCACCCTACCTGCCACCATGGGTCAGTACGTAGGGCAGCTAGCCCACTGTGGGCCCCCTATTCCTGCCAAATTAGCCTTGGCTGAGAAACCTTTCCCCACCAGTGCCCACCTTGGCATCTCCTCTCATTTCATGGGCTGTGCCGTTGTCCTTAGGAATGGCGGTGGGGGCAGTTCAGCAGTGGGTGGTGTACAGGAGCATTCAGTTATTAGAACCTTGGCCTCCAGACCCCAGGGACCCCTGTCTCTTCGCTCTCTGTATATCTGACATATCCAAGGGCCAGGCTCTTTCCTTCCACCTCAATTCCCATGGCTTTCAGGTAGGAAGCTTCTAGAACATTCTCAGTTACAAATATCCCACCATCATGGGAGCTGGTATAGGACCAAGTTGGGAATAGGTGCTACTCCCTCTCTCCTTTCCCCCCTCCTCCCATGCTGTCACCCTGTTCTCTTCTGCCCCTCCTCTGGGCAGGCAGACAAAACTCCTCACAAGTCCTGAGAACTCTGCCAACCGAAGGCTTCTCAAGTCACCTCAGCCCACCATGCCTCTGCAGACTGTGGTCTACCACCCCTTTGATCCAAACGACTGCCTTTCTCTAGAGCTGATCCCGCGAGCCAGGGCTGTGGGTGGCCCATTTCCTGGCCAAGGGACCCATGTTGTGGAAGGAAAGAGATGGAGCTGGAAATGGCCTTTTTTTCTGGCCCCAGGCAGGGCCTAGCATGAGAAACTTTGGGCCAGCTCCTCCCTCTCCCCTAGGCGCATTCCTAAGTTCTGGCTCTGGCGACATCAGACACCATTTACGGAGTGCTGACTCTGTGCCAGGTGCTGTGGTAAGCACTAGACACAACTTATCTTTCTTAATCCTCACAACAATCCTAGGAGGCAGATTATCCCATTCTACTGATGAGAAAACTGAGACTCCAAGAGATGAATCTGACCCAAGGGCCTCCCACTAGTAAGTAGGGGAGCTGGTGCAGAACCAGGTCTGCCTGACTTGAAAGGATTCTCCTAACTGCCTTGCCATGCCCTGTTCTCCTTGCCAGGCAGGTCACCAAGGCAGAGGGCGCGGCTTTGGCGGGCAGGTTCGGGTGCCTGTTTTTCGAGGTCTCTGCCTGCCTGGACTTTGAACACGTGCAACACGTCTTCCACGAGGCAGTGAGGGAGGCACGGCGGGAGCTGGAGAAGAGCCCCCTGGCCCGGCCCCTCTTCATCTCCGAGGAAAGGGCCCTGCCCCACCAGGCCCCACTCACCGCCCGGCATGGGCTGGCCAGCTGCACCTTCAACACACTCTCCACCACCAGCCTGAAGGAGATGCCCACTGTGGCCCAGGCCAAGCTGGTCACCGTGAAGTCATCCCGGGCCCAGAGCAAGCGCAAGGCACCCACCCTGACCCTACTGAAGGGCTTCAAGATCTTCTGAGGTGCCCCTCAGGGTCCCAGCCTTGGCAGCTGGGCAGGGCTGTGGGATAGGGGCTGGTTTCTCACCACTGGCCTTTCCCTCTGGTGGACAGCTGACCCCTTCTGCGGCGCCAAGCAGTGTCCCTCTCAGTCACTGTGTGAGCTGGAGGGGCAGGCAGGGATGTTGTTCCTGTTGCCTCCAGGCCCTAGGCTCCATGGTAACCCCGCAAGGAAACAGCCACTGTGACACTGGGACAGCCTGGTGTCACCACCCCCTCTCTGCTGCAGAAACAGCTGGGCCAGACATGGATGGCTGTGGGAGGCCCGCATATGTGTAGACCTAACAGCCTACAGGAGAGACAGCCCTGAGGTCCTAGCGCTGCCGGGTGGACGGGAAGGGAAGGGCAGCTGCAGGTTTGGGAGGCTGGAGCCCGACCCTCCCATTGTCTTCTGACCTCACAGAAGCCCTAGGCTAGGCCTGTGGCCAACAAACCCTACAGTTTTCCAAGTGAAAGCTAGTTAAAATAATCTCAAGAAGAGGTACTCGCAGCACTTTGCCTCTCCTCAGCAAGAGTGGAAGGGAGGACTATGGGTTTTCCAGTGTATGGAGGCTCCGAGGATTCTCTCACTAGCCGGCAGGGCCCCCTGCTTTCCCACCATTAAGGACTCTGTCCACAGACCCTCAGGCTCAGCCTCCTCAAGTTGAATGATCAAAGCTGCAGAACAAAGTCGTTCCCTCCAGTGACAATCATCCAGGACTCCAGGGTGCCCACAACTGGCAGTATCTGACGCCGTGCCCCGGGCTTCTAGGGAGAAACATAGTGTATAAATTATACCCATTTGTAGTCTGGTTGAAGGAGCCCTGGTGGCACAGTGGTTAAAATGCTCAGCTGCTAACTGAAAGGCCGGCAGTTCGAACCCACCAGCCGCTCCGAGGGAGAAAGGTGTGGCAGTCTGCTTCCATAAAGATTTACAGCCTTGGAAACCCTATGGGGCAGTTCTGCTGTGTCCTACAGGGTCACTATGAGTCGAAGTTGACTCAACGGCAATGGGTTTGGTTTGGGTAGTCTGGTGTGGAGAGACCCAGAACCCTCAGCGATGGGTCTGAGTGTTCAAAGACCACTTTTGTAACATACAACCTAAAGCACTTTTGGTTAATAAAACAAATTTTTGCAAAAGTTATTTGGTGTTGCCACCACAGCTTTACACCAAAACATGGTGGCTCAAATATGGGATCAGGATACTCTCTTGGACATTGATGTGATTTGGGATCCCCCTGTTAGAAAAAGGTCTTAGAAGAGGGTCTTGAGTCAGGAGGTTCCATAGGTTTTTGTTTTTTGGTTTTTTTTTTTTAATTTTACCACAAGGTCCCTGGCCTGGAGGTCTTTCTTGGATGCTTAGCACATAAGCAAGTAAAGGAGAGGGCTCTGCTGAGTGGAAGGGATAAGAAAGGGATTCTTTTTCTTTTCCCATACAAAAATTTATACATACGTTGTTATGTGACTCTAATTGCTCTCCCCATCCTGTGACAGCACACTCCTCCTTTCCACCCCTGATTCCCCATGTTCCATTCAACCAGCTCCTAACCCTCTCTGCCTTCCCATCTCACCTCCGGATGGAAGCTGCCCGTTTAGTCTCTTGTATCTACTTGAGCTAAGAGGCATACTCCTCGCGAGTATCACTTTATGCCCCACAGTCCAGTCCAATCCCTGTCTGAAGAGTTGGCCTCGGGAATTGTTTGAGTTCTGGGCTGATAGAGAATCCAGGGGCCATGCTTTCCGGGGTTCTTCCAGTCTCAGTCAGACCATTAAGTCTGGTCTTTTTACTAGAATTTGAGTTCTGCACCCCACCTTTCTCCTGCTTCATCAGGGACTCTCTGTTGTGTTCCCTGTCAGGGCGGTCATTGGTTGTAGCCAGGCACCATCTAGTTCTTCTGGTCTCAGGTTAATGAAGTCTCTGGTTTATGTGGCCCTTTCTGTCTCTTGGGCTACTGCTTTCCTTGAGTCTTTGGTGTTCTTCATTCTCCTTTACTCCAGGTGGTTGAGACCAACTGATTCATCTTAGATGGCTACTTGCAAGCTCTTAAGACCCCAGACGCCACTCACTGAAGTAGGATGCAGAACATTTTTGTAATAAGCTTTGTTATGCCCATTGACCTAGATGTCCCCTGAAAGCATGGTCCCCAGCCCCCTACCCCTGCCTACTCTGTCAAGAAGGGGATTCTGAATCCAGAATCCTGCTCCTCCCCCTCTCAGCTGTCCCGGGAGTGGGACTGAAAAGAGCAGTTCTGACCCAGCCTTTGGCCTCTAGCCGAGGTCAGAGGGAGGCCGTGAACTGCTAAGACCACATGCGGAGACACCTGGCCAAGCTTCCTGACCCCCAGGCCCACTACGGGTTTGCACTTTTGCTCCAAGCCACTTGCACACATGGACCACGACTATCTGAACAAGTTATGCCATTCCAGCTGCCCACTTCCAAAAGCATTTTTAATAAAAAGGTTTTTTTTTTTAAATAACAATTTTTAGTCGAATTGCAGTTCATTCATTTTATCAGGTAACCAAAAAAAAAAAGAAAAAGGCTGCTTGAGAGAAATAGTGAAACCTGAGAGGTTTCAGGCCAGTGAGCCTGACCAGGGCCCTGGTGGGGGTCGACACTGCTCTGTACCCTCACTAGCTCTCAGGTTCTGGGGGGTCTTGGAGGAGAAGCGGTGGTGGACATCTCTCTCTCTTTGAATTCAATTTCCACTTGGGCCAAGTGTGGCTTTTCTGAGAGCAAAGTCTCCTTTAGGGTGTTCATGCTGCTGTCATCTTTGTTTCCGGCCTCTGCCAGATCTAGGACTTCCGGAGTTTGGGTTTGCGGTGGCAGCATCTTTCGATTTCTGGGAAGAGAGGAAACACTTTGGAATGTGAGTTCCCTGAGCTGGAATACTGAGTGGTTAGGGCAGGATGGGGCTTTCCCAAGTGGCTCAGAGGGTTTGAGGGAAAATTCTATAGGCTCTTTTGAGAGCTGCTGGGGAGAAGCCGAGATGGTTTGCTGTTCCTTCTGCCGAGAAACAGCTTACACTGGCACATGCCTTGTGTCACCGAGTTCTCACCGCCACCTGTGAGCTCAACCATGACCCCCCCCACCCCAGGTGAGGAAATGTGGCTCAGTCCCAGGACGTGCACTAAGTCTCCTGACTCGGAAGCCTGTCTTCTTTCCTCCAAACCACACTGTCTCTGATCCCAGGACTGTCATCCTGCTTAGTTCAGGTCCTGGTCACCCCACACCCCATCCCCACCCTCACTCCACCCCATCCCCCAAACCAACCACTACAGGAAATTCCTAATGAATCTCCCTGCTTGCTTCTCCAAACCAGCCTACACACACCAGTCATAATGTGTGCACGTATCACTCCCCAGCTCAAGCACCGTCAGTGGCTCCCCACTGCCCACCTGGCATTCAAGACCCTGCATGATCTTGTTCTTCATTATGTTTCCAGCCTTCCTTCCAATAGCTCTCCCAAATCTATCCTCCAGCCTTCCTTCCAATAGCTCCCAAATCTATCCTCCAGCCTTCCTTCCAATAGCTCCCAAATCTATCCTCCAGCCTTCCTTCCAATACCTCTTCCAAATCTATCCTCCCTCCAAGTCGGTTTTACTCGTGGTACCCCTAGACTTCCAATTGCGTGAGGAAACAAAGTAAGTCAGATGTGATCCCTGCCCTCAAGGAAGTCTCGGGTTAGCCCTGGCTGCACATTAGAATCATCCCACCTTAGATGCATTAGGTCAGAACCAGTCAAGGTGAGGCCCAGCAATCTGTGTTTTTAATATTCTTCCTTGAGTGATTCTGTTGTGCATCCAGGGTTAAGGAGCACTGTTGTATGACAATGTGAAAAACAGCCCAGGAGCCTCAGCTGACCTCAGGTCTCTATCTGACCCTGGATTTGGCCTTAGAGCAGGGTAAGGCTTCCCGCTTTAACAGCATTCCTAACTCTGCGATAGCTACCATTTACTCAGCACTCAGCACACTCCTGGGAGGAAGGAATGCTTTATTACTGCCATTTATAGAAGAAACAGTGGTTCGGAGGTACTGAGTGACTTGCCTCGCTAGTGAGTGGCAGAGCTGGGATTTGAACCAGGTCTGTGTGACCGCAGAACCAGAGACCATATCCTCTGAGGCACACCAGCCCCTGCCCTGTCTGCCGGCCAGTGCTGGGGGGAATGGTCATCAGGGACAGCTGCTGGGTTTCCAACAGCTTCCCTGAAAGGGCCCTAAAGGCTGCATTTTTCTGAACCAGAGGGTGGACAGTCAAAGCCTCCAGGCGACACCTGCCTGCGCAGAGTCACAGGTGCCCTCTGGAAGAACAGGACCCCCTCCCTCCAGAGGCCACCCCCAGACCAACGCCTCACCTGTTTGCCAGGATACTCCTTCCCAGGAGGACGGTGCTTATCACGATCACCATGGAGGCCAGGGTAAGAATGGCATAATTCCAAGGAGATGCTGGGGAGGGGCACATGAGTCAGCTTTGAGGGAGAGGCCAGGTGCCCCATGGGCTCACTAGGGGTTGGGGCTTGGGCTCAGACCAGCTCACAGCATCAACTGCCCCTGCTGTGGACCAGGTGCAGTGGGAGGAGATGAGCTCCCAGCCTGGGGAACCACCATTCTGAAAGGGGAGGGGTGACAAGATGGCAGACTCTGCTCTGGAGAAGCCCTGATCTAATGGGGAAGATGGCACCACAGTTGCATAGCAGGGAAGAAAAATGTGCAGGAAAAGAGGCTGGCGGAGACACACCGCACACTCTCCAGTTTTGCCAGAGGCTGGCCTTGTGTGGTTTGGGAAAGGAAGGGACAGAGGGGTAGTTAAACCAGATTTAACACTTGGCCGCAGATAATACATCAAGCAGCTAATCGGAATTTGTCCGGTCAAGATTTGCCCACACTGTACCGAAAAGCGGCGCTATCCAGCCTCAGAGCTTTTGCATTTGCTGTTCCCTCTGCCTGGGATGTTCTTCCTCATACACGCCGCACAGCTGCTTCTTTCACTTCCTGCAAGTCTTTATTCACATGTCACCTTCTTATCCAGACCTTACTCAACCACATTATCCAGTTCCAAATGCCTCCACCCTTACCGCGTGCTCCCCATGCCCTTCTCGGCTTAATTTTTCTCCTCATTACTCATCACCAACACACTCTGCATTTCAGTTATTTATCCTGGTTCCCTTCGGTCTCCTCCGCTATCATGTACACTGGGGCAAAGAGTTTTGTGTTTTATCCACTGTTGTAACCGCAGTGCCAAGAACAGTGCCGGGTGCACAGCAGGAGCTGAGTATTTGTTGAATGAGTGGAGGGATGAGTAAATGAGTAAATGGGTGTCATTCGTTCCCACGTCCTGTTACCTGCCCCACCGTGTGCCAGAGCGCTCTGGGTGCCGGATGCCCAGCCTCAGCCCCTGCCGTGGAGGAATGTGCTGCCTGCCTGGGAGGAGGAGGCCCGTGTTGCAGGGCTTCAGGCAAACTCTGCTCTTTGTGTTGAGGAGCAGCTCTCCCTACCCCAAATCTCCTGCCACTTACCATCTTCTACCCGAAAAAACCAAAGCATTTCTTCCAGCAACTCCTGAGGCACGGCAATGCCAGCTGGGGCTACGGCAGCCCCCTCACTGTGGTCCATGCTGCTCCTGGTTGGGGTGTGTTCCTGGCAACAGAGGCCTCAGAGCCTCTTGGCCCCCAGCTGCCCTTCTGGCCGAGGACCCCTGGAAACAAGGCAGAGAGTGTGACTAGATTCCCCCCCTGGTTTGGCCTCCTCTCCCTGCCCAGGGAGTCCCAGGGTGGCACAAACGGTTAAGTGCATGACTACTAGCTGAAAAATTGGTGGTTCAAACCCACCCGGGGGCGCCTTGGAAGAAAGCCCTGGTGATCTGCTTCTGAAAGGTCACAGCCTTGAAATCCCTATGAAGCAGTTCTGCTCTGCACACACGGGGTCGCCAGGAGTCAAAACTGACTAGACAGCAGCTAACGACAACACTGCCCAAATCCAGCCCTCCTCTGGCCAGGGTTGTGGGACCGGAACAGCCCAAACTCAGGAGCAGGAGGGGACTGGAGAGGCAGAGATCATAGGGGTGGAGTGACTCAAATCTTCACTAAAACTCAGCATGCAAGGAGCATTGATCTGAGAGTGAAGAGGACAGAGGCTTGCAGAGGACATCCCCACCCCACTTCCAAAGCCCCCTGCACTCCTGTGCTGTGGTTTCTTTGTATTGTCCTACCCCATGCCCATGCGGCTCATGTGGTAGCCAATCACAAGTCCCTCTCTTTCCTATGTGACTCAGGCGGGCCTGTCACAGTCTCTTTCCTGGGGATTGGCACACCAGTGACCCAGAGCTGAGATTAGGGGACTGCAGCCAACTCTGGCCCTGGTGGCTCAGTGGTTAAGAGCCTTTTCGCTGCTAAGCAAAACGTTGGCAGATGAATCCACCAGCTGCTCTTTGGAAACCCTATAGGGCAGTTCTACCTTGTCCTGTAGGGTCACTATGAGTCAGAATCAACTCGATGGCAACAGATTAGTTTTGGTTTGCCAACTCCGGCTGCTGAAATTCCTCATCCCAAGGCCTGGCTGGTCAGTGTGGCCCTGAGTTCTGCAATCTTTGGTAACTTCTTCTTTTAGATAAATTATCAGAGTTGGTTCCTGTTGTTTACGAAAGAAGAACCGGAACCTGAACCCATGCTCCTTAATTTGAGCCTGTTTCTATCCCTACAAAATGAAAACAAGCTGTATTTACCAAACCTCAGTCAAAACACTTTTTTTTTTATTGTTGTGCTTTAAGTGAAAGTTTACAATTCAAGTTAGTCTCTCATACAAAAATTTATATTGTTATGTGACTCTAGTTTCTCTCCCTATACTGTGACAGCACACTCCTCCTTTCCACATGTCCATTCAACCAGCTCCTGACCCTCTCTGCCTTCTCATCTCACCTCCGGACAGAAGCTGCCCATTTAGTCTCATGTATCTACTTGAGCTAAGAAGCACACTCCTCACGAGTATCATTTTATGTCCCATAGTCCAGTCTAATCTTTGTCTAAAGAGTTGGCCTCAGGAATGGTTTTAGTTTTGGGCTAATAGAGAGTCTGGAGGGCATGTCTTCCGGGGTCCCTCCAGTCCCAGTCAAACCATTAAGTCTGGTCTTTTTACTAGAATTTGAGTTCCGCACCCCGCTTTTCTCCTGCTCTGTCAGGGACTCTGTTGTGTTCCCTGTTAGGGCAGTCATTGGTGATAGCCAGGCACCATCTAGTTCTTCTGGTCTCAGGCTGATGAAGTCTCTGGTTTATGTGGCCCTTTCAGTCTCTTGGGCTAATAACTTTCCTTGTGTCTTTGGTATTCTTCATTTTCCTTTGCTCCAGGTAGGTTGGGACCAATTGATGCATCTTAGATGACCACTTGCTAGCTTTTAAGACCCCAGACGCCACTCACCAAAGTGGGATGCAGAACATTTTCTTAAACTTTGTTATGCCAGTTGACTTAGATGTCCCCTGAAAGCATGGTCCCCAGACCCCCACCCCTGCTACTCTGTCACTCGAAGTGTTTGCTTGTATTCGGGAAACTTCTTAGCTTTGGTTTAATCCAGTTGTGCTGACTTCCCCTGTAGTGTGTGTTGTCCTTCCCTTCACCTAAGATAATTCTTGTCAACTATCTAGTTAGTGAATACCCCTCTCCTTCCATCCCCACCCTTGTGACCATCAAATAATGTTTTCTTCTGTGTTTAAACATTTTATTGAGTTCTTTTAATAGTGGTCTTATACAATATTTCTCATTTTGAAACTGACTAAATTCACTCAGCATAATAATGCCTTCCAGATTCCTCCATGTTATGTTTCACGGTTTCATCTTTGTTCTTTATCATTGCATAGTATTCCATTGTGTGAATATACCATAATTTGCAAAACACAATTTTTGACATATTTGTGTACTACCTTTATTATTAATATTTTTCTTCAAATTAAGCCATACTTTAATTAAAATAGATTTTTAGAAGGAAACTTTATATTATTAAAAACCAGTTGCTGAAAGCAGCCGTCCAAGGTACAGCAATTGGTCTCTGTTCACCTGGAGCAACAGAGGAAGAAGGAGAGTCAGGAATAGGAGGAAAAAATGGAATGTGTAGCTAATTGCCTCCATGAACAACTGCCTCCTTTGCCATGAGACCAGAACTGGATGATGCCTGGCTACCATTACTGAATGTTTTGATCAAAGATTCCATAGAAGAATCCTGATCAAAAGGAGGAAAATGCAGAACAAAATTTCAAATTCTCATGGAATCTAGGCTTTCTGGAGCCATTGAGGCTGGATGAACCCCCAAAATGATTGTCCTTAGATAATCTTTAAAACTTAAACCAAAAATATTTTCTGAAGTTTTCTTTAAACTAAACAATACCAAAAACCAAACCCATTGCCGTCGACTGGATTCCAACTCATAGCGACCCTATAGGACAGAGTAGAACTGCCCCATAGGGTTTCTAAGGAGCAGCTGGTGGATTTGAACTGCTGACCTTTTGGTTAGCAGCCGATTGATTAATCCCTGTGCCACCAGGGGTCCAACCAAACAATAGTCTAGCTTAATTAGTAAAGTATGTCTGCCTTGAGCATTGTGTTCTTTTAAGAACCATCTATACCCGTTGCTGTCGAGTCGATTCTGACTCATAGCAACCCTATATATGGGATCAAATTGATAACATCAACTCTAAGGATTACATAGGAAACTTAGGGGGCAGTAAGCTTAGGTTAATGGGGGAGGAACAATTCAGAAAAGGAAGGTGAGAATGGGTGCACAACTTGAAGAATGTAATCAATGTCACTGAATTGTACAAGTGGAAATAGTTTAATTAGTGTAGATTCTCTTGTGTATATTCTCAACAACAACAACAACAAATAAAATAAAAACGGCGTAGACAATTGGAAGAGCGTAGTCGATGTCACTGAACCGTGCATGTAGAAATTTTTGAAATGGTGTATCTTTGGCTATGTGTAGTTTCACCAAAAAAAAAGGTTGAGAAGTTAGAGGGTTGACATGTTGTGGGGTTGTTAACCAATGTCATAAAACAATATGTGTACTACTGTTTCATGAGCAACTATTTGTTCTGTAAGCCTTCACCTGAAGTACAATTTAAAAAAAAATCTGAGAGGACAAAAAGACCAGAATTAATGGTCTGACTGAGACTACAGGAACCCCAGAAGACATGGCCCCCGGACTCTCTGTTAACCCAGAACTGAGACCATTCCTGAAGCCAACTCTTCAGACAAAGATTAGACTGGACTATAAAACATAAAATAATACTCGCGAGGAGTGTGCTTCTTAGTTCACGTAGATACACGAGATTAAACGGGCGGGTCCTGTCCAGAGGTGGGATGAGAAGGCAGAAAGGGACAAGAGCTGGTTGAATGGACACGGGAAACCCGGGGTGGAAAGGAAGAGTGTGCTGTCATAGTACAGGGATTACAACTAGGGTCACATAACAATATGTGTATATATTTTTGTATGAGAAACTAACTTGAGCTGTAAACTTCCACCTAAAGCACAATTAAAAAAAATTTTGAGAGGAAAAAAAAAAAAACAGTTGGTGGAGAGTTGATTCCAACTCACGGCGACCCCACATATTATTATATACATTTTAAAAAGCAGTATCACTTGTCATAGAGAAATAAATACGTAATTATTAAAATAAAAAGTGTAGACCTGCATACCCAAAATCACCTTGTAGGACTCATACACCTTGGGGAAACACTGGGCCATGTGACCTCTAGCCTCGCTCGTCTTTGGCTCTAGTCATATCATGAACTGCTGCTCTGAAGCCTGATCGCTATATACATAGTGACCACAGTGAAGTGTGTTCAGAATTTGAAGATAAGGCCACCTTGGGTGGAGTAAGAACCAGTCACTATTGATGTAGAAGTGGCATCCTTTCTGGTCACAACACTTGGATGCATGACTTAGTATCTCAGCCAGTTGGGGCACTGGAAAGGAACTATCCTGATTGGTGGACACCTGAAAAGGTGCACCCTTCGTAAAAAGACAGTGTTGGCATGAAACTCAGGTCCCCCAGAGTCTGGCCAATATGAGTTAAAACTTCTGAACAAATGCACTTGGGATGCTGAGGACTAAAGCTGAGGCCCAGATATCTCCCTTAGGTACAGCCCTATGAGACATGCAGGGAGGGAGCTGTCTGCTCCTCTTCCCCATAAAGCGGACCACCACCACCAGCAGCAGATGTGGTCAAGTCCACCCCGACATATGGCGCCCCCATGTATGTCAGAGTAGAACTGTGCTCCATAAGGTTTCCAATAGCTGATTTTTCATTAGATCACCAGGCATTTCTTCCAAGGTGCCTCTGGGCAAACTCGAATCTCTAACCTTTGGGTGAACAGCTGAGTGTTAACCATTTGCCCCACCAGGGACTCCAGAGCTCTCTAACTTCAGCACGTGTGCATTTGCCTGCCTGCATTTGGTTTCAGGCTAATGCCGAAGGTCTGGCCTAACGATAGGCAGTGTGGGCTGTGGACTAGTGCCCATCTGTGAACTGTTTGTAACTGCTCCTCTAAAAAAAACCCCAAACCCATTGCCGTTGAGTCAATTCTGACTCATAGCAACCCTGGTCCTCTACTATTCAGAAATTAAGAGT